AAAATATAGTGAAATTCTGTTCCACAGCGTAAACTAATTGGACAAACTTTTGTCAGTGATATGCTGCACTGCGGCATGGTGAAAATTATAACATCCATATGTCTATATCCACCAGGGCTTAGAAAGTTGCACAGTGGTATGGTTTGTCTTGGTCATTGCCAACCTGCTACTGCATTTATACTTGGACACATACAAAATGAAGAATAAGAATTAATTTATGAAACTATTTTGCTCTGGTAATTTCTTGCAAAGCACTGAAGATTAACATTTTATCACAAAAGGTTGAAAAAATTACATTAAAAAGGAAGTCAATAACTTGTCTATAAAATTATAACCTCGCTTGATATTAATAGGAAGTGATGAGACGGATGTAAAAAATACATGTATATATTGCCTCTTATACAGTACAATCCTAAATTGTCTCTTGACCCTATAACAATTATTTTTTCAGGTGATAGGGATACAAAAGGATGTTTGTCTTGATACATCCCAGATATCCAGTTAGCATGTTATAAGTTATGCTGTATGTAAGCAAATCCAGTTAGCATGCCCAGATAGGTAGAAAACCACTACTTTTATTTCTGTGGGTTTGTTTCTTCATTGTGGTCATGTTTGTGAACACTTCAGCTCTTTCAATCACAGTACCACATATAAGACCTTTGTGGAATTCCATTTACTCATGTTTTATCATGTCAGCATCCCAATAGATATTATCGAAATAAGGATGGTAAGACTCCAGACACATCACGAGGCAGAGATGGTGCTAAAGAGTAGTACAAAAATTTTGATTTTTTCATAAGCCCAGTTAGATAGCTTTTCTTTTGAACAAACATTTCTTTTAAAGTCTCCAACACAAGTGCTTGCAGAGTCCGATCTTGTTTAATTATACAGAACCAAGTTCACCGTGAGATAAAATGATTCCTAAATATTTCCGTTTTCTTCTTTTTTTTTTTTTCCACTCAACTTATGTCATTAATATCATGTACACCTCAATTTCTTGTGGAACCATTTGTATGGCAGCAATTTTATTGAAAAACCAGGCTAAGAAACGTGAATTCAAAGAAAGACTTCTTATGGGCTATAAGATAGGATAAGATATGGGCCATGGGATATACTAGTGACGTAAAATTTGGTTCAGTAGAACTACAGATGGGAAGCATCATGGACCATCAAGTAAGGAGGGCAGCCACTCCCAACACTGCTGCAAATGCTTAAAGAAAAAGTGTACCCTTCCTTGCACATACTTTATTACAAGAATGAAGCTTTGTGGTTCTCATGAGAGAGCACTGAACAGGTAAAATGATGTATGCTACTGACAGCACAGAAGCCTGGATTTGGGCATTGCTCTTTCATGAACATGGAAATTTGCTATGGTTGAGATAACACGTTACAGACTAAGATAGCAAGGCTATGAAGACTACAAGGCAGGTTAAGCTCTCACTGTCTTGAAGCTCTCTCACAGAAGAGCTATCAAAAGTTTTAAAGGCAAGGCTTTGGTACAACATGAAATACAGGTGCCCCAGGATGAAGACATTTCAACCCAGGGCTGTTCTTTATTCAACTAGCGCTCACAGTATGCTTGCTGCATCCCTCAGGTTTCCTCAACAGGCGAAGAAACTAGAAACTGCTCTTTGTCTGTGTTGGTCTCCTTGAAGATATACAGGGCTTTCGACACATGTAATCAAAGTTTGCCTTCTCTCAGGCACCTGGTGTGCTAAAAGGTACCCACTTGTCCAATTGATTCTCACTCATCCTCCTCTGCTCTCTAACACATCTCCATTATTTCGTATTCTTAAAAATATGTACTGTTTAAAATATAACAATAAAGCAAAACAACGACACTCTTCGAGAATATACTACCTGAAGTCCTTTCTAAATAATGAATGTTTATTCTGGCTGAAGGCCTTATTATTTCTGTTTGGTTTGAAAACATAGAATTAGTCTATACTTTCAAAACCTTTTTTTTTTTTAAAGGTTTTTAAAGAGGTGCATAGTTTTAAATACATGGGAAAATTATAGCATTTCTGACTATGTTAAATTGTTAAATTGCTTTATTGTTTTGCAATTATAACTTTGAAAATAGAAATACATAAAAAAAAATTTTCACACAATAATGCTTTCAAAATAACCAGAGTAAAGAACCCTAGGCCTATAACTTCATTAAATAATTTCCTTTTTCCAATTTTTATAAGCTCAGCAACTGGAAATCCCTCTTTCTTTCTTTCTTTTTTTTTTTTTTTTTTTGTAACTCAGAAATACTGTTACAAGCAATATTAACAGTTTTTCAACACATAAATGAGTTAGGGCATAGCTGAAGTATTTAAAAAAAACGGGTATCCACTCCTACTCCTGAATCAAATTGCCCCAAATGTAAGAGAGAATTTTAAAGTCTTCACATTGTCTCAATAGAAATACTAGAGCATGAACCATATTTTTAAAATTACTTTGAACATCATTAAGATTATAATCTTGATCTTCTGTATGTTACAAAATTCTATTTTGAAAGTAGATTAATTCTGAAAGAACTCAGTTTCCTTTCCATCCTTTTCACTATTTACTTAATTATCTTTAAAAAATGTTGGTTTTTAAAATGCTTTTTCTGCATTGAGTTCTTTTTTTTTATTAATATCTCTTCCTCCTTTACTTTTATTTTCTTCAATTTTTTAGAATCTCCTTTTGTGTTCTGTTTTCTCTTTCTTTCCCAAGCCC